TTATCCAGTCTGTCTTCTGTTCACATTTCTTAGGAACAGGTATGGCGGAGGGGAAAACAAAAGATAAGATTTATTTATTTAAATTTGCTAGAAAGAGCTGCCATTGTTTTCTTTACTGGCAAAGCAGGGAATGAGTGGCAAGGCATTTTCTTTATAAGAAAAGTAATTTTTGATTTGAAGCTCATGGATTCAATGCTATATCTCCCCTGGACACATTATTTAAAATACATATTCTTTTCTCATGAAAATGGTGTGTGTTCAGCCCTGAATGTTCATTCTCTTTCACTTTGAGGAAACCTATTCTAGTTGATTTAAGGTGGACTAGTTTGTTATAAAATTGAACAGTTAAGGTTTGCATCAATTTTTGTATATACTATGACTAGATTATTTCAAGTAAACTTATTTTTTGATTGAGGTATATTTGATTTATAGTATTATATAATTGTCAGGTGTAAAGTATAGTGACTCTCATTTTGTAAAGGTTATACTCCATTTATAGTTATTTTAAAATACTGGCTATATCCTCTGTGCTTTGCAGTATATTCTTGTAGCTTATTTATTTTACACCTAGTGGTTTGTACCTCTTAATCCTCCACCCCTTTCACCCCCGCCCTTCCCTCTCCCCACTGATAACCATTAGTTTGTTCTGTATATCCATAACTGTTTCTTGTTATATTTGTTTATTTTTTAGATTCTGTGTACAAGTATATCACACAGTATGTCTTTGTCTTAGTTCACGTAGCAGAATATCCTCCAAGTCCATCTATGTTGTTGCAAATGGCAAAATTTCCCTCTTTTTTATAACTGAGTGGTAGCTCGTTGTGTGTATATATATATATACACTCTGGAATATATACACACATAATGGAATATATATACTGCATCGTCTTCATTCATCCATCTGTTGATGGACCAGTTGCTTCCTTATCTTGGCTATTGTAAATAATGCTGCTGTGAACATGGGGTGTGCGGTCTTTTCGAATTAATGTTGTTTTCTTTGGATGTATACCCAGCAGTGGAACACTGCTGGATCATATGGTAGGTCTGTTTTCAGTCTGTTGAGGAACCTCTATTCTGTCCTCCACAGTGGCTGCGCCAGCTTACACTCACACCAGCAGTGTACAAGGGTTCCCTCTTCTCCCCGTCCTTGCCAGTATTTTTGGTCTTTTTGATGATAGCCATTCTAAAAGCTGTGAAGTGACATCTTATTGTGATTTTCATTTGAATTTCTCTGACTTTAGTGATGTTGATCACCTGTGTGAACTTCTCTGACGTTTAGTGATTTGATCACCTGTATCAATTTCTCTGATGTTTAGTGATGTTGGTCACCTGTACATCTTTTTTGGAAAAATATCTGTTTAGGTCTTATGTTGTTTTGATGTGAGCTGTTTATGTATTTTGGATATCAACCCCTTGTCAGTCAAATCATTTCCAAGTATTTCTTCCCATTCATTAGTTGTCTTTTCATTTTGTCGACAACTAGTTCATTTTTAAGTCATCTTCAAAAATAGTGATTTCTCTTCCTATAACTAGTTTTGTGTCTAAATTTTTTGCCATAACATGGCAGGTGCCCACCTGACTTTTACATTTCTTTGTTCAAGACTGACAGAAGGCCAGTGTGACTGAAGTGTGAATGAAAGGGGATGGTGATGTGAGAGGACAGATCTGTGTATCAGATCGTATTCAGCTATATGAAGGCCATGACAAAGAGCTCAGATTCTATTCTAAGTGAGATGGGGCACTGTTTATGTTTTTAAAATATCACTTTGGCTGCTATGGAGAAAAACCATGTAACACAGGAAAAGAACAGACTCTTCTAGTAATCAAGGCTTATGGATTAGTGTAATTGAGGAATCAGAGAGACCAACTGAGGATGTTTTACAGAGAAAAGTGTATAGGACTTGGTGGTGTTGAATCTACGCTTTAAGGGAAAGAGGCATCAAGGCCATGCCCAGGCCTGATAATCAGTGTTGGCTGCGCAGTGGCTGCCTTAAGTGTGTGTTTTCTGTTCTGACAGGTCAGTGCCCTTGCTATATCTGATGACCCAAGGTTTGGGGGAAAAACTAGGGAGAAACAGGTTTAGAGGGGAAAATCAAAGTTTTGTCCACTTACGTATTATAATGGTCCTAGATTGATGAGATTTTAACTGTCTTCTTGAAAATTTTCTGAAACATTTAAATAAAAGGAATATAACAATCCAGATAGAAGTGTTTCCATATGGTCACAGGTAGCAGACATGAATCTCACCCCTCCTGCAGCTTCTGAACATCTGTCCGCTAGTGAAACAGCAGTCTTTGACAAAGCCTGGAGGGGTGTTTGCATCAGGCTCTCTCAGCCTTCTCGCTATTTTATGGGAAGACGCTTTGAGGGGCTGCCTAGAGCATCATGGGCTTCCCCGTGGCTCAGACAGGAAAGTCTGCCTGCAATGCAGGAGACCCAGGTTCAGCCCCTGGGTCGGGAAGATCCCCTGGAGCAGGAAATGGCCACCTAACTCCAGGACCCTTGCCTGGAGAATCCCATGGACAGAGGGGCCTGGTGGGCTACAGTCCATGGGGTCGCAGAGAGTCGGACACGACTGGGCGACTGACACCCACTTTCACCACAGCTTTATAGGGTTTCATAGCCTCCTTGGTCCACTAGATAACAGCAATGCCAGCTCCCAGTGTGAAAACCAAAGAGGTCTCCGAGGGTCACCGAGTATCCCGAGGGGCAGGGGAGCAGAATCGTCCCCTGGCTGAGAACCACTGGTTTATAAGCAATAGAACTTTCTAGCATGGTGCTGACAATAACAAAACTAACATCTGTTAGCACTTGTTATAGCCCCTTTATCTCATGCTACCAGAATCACTGGACAAATTGGTTAATTTTTAAAATCTGCTAAGGTTAAAAATTATTTTCAAAAATATGTAAACGCCTTTAACTTCAATATAAACCACTTAATAATTGTTTGATGTTGGGCCATTATCTTGAATATGAATCCACTGGCTGGATTTCTAAGTTGTCATGTCACATAACACATCTTCTACCATTTTTAATTTTGTGTCTTTTAAAAACGGACAGATACTTGAATTCTGTTTTCCCTTTTGCTTTTTTGTTGATATGTAACTGTCTGCTTTTTAGATTTCTCACCCATACCACATTTAATCACATTTTGACTGGAGAGGGGTTGGGGGAACACTTTTACCAAGTGTCTACCAAACCTAGCTTTCAAATAAAACCGGAAGTCACATACACTCACAGCTCAAGGGCTGCTGAATACTTAAATTACGTAATTACCCCAAGCAGAGCCAACAGGTTCATTAACCATTGCCACTAGCTCTTTGCTACTAAGAATCACGTGGGGATATCAGAGACCAGATTCCTAGCCACGGCCTTCATAAGCCAGTATGCCTACCAGGTCACTTTTATCAGGTGGAGACTGGCTAAGTAGTACTGTTTGTGCCAGACACTACTTGCATTCTCTTTTAATCCACAACAATCCAAAATGATAGTATATTAATCTGTTTTGCCTTTGAGTACTGAAACATAAAGATGGCATCTTGCACATGGTTACGTAGGTAATAAAAACAGTCAGGATGTGCTTTACCATTTCATCACACACACCATGGGGGTTAATTCTCTACAGAACACTAGGCCCCCTTCTGGTCCATGATCACAAATTACACCTTTGAATGTTGACCAGTTATCATCAAAGTAAGTGCTGTACCTAGAAAATATGGGAGATCAATATAAATCTATCACTTGAAACACTTGAAAGCATCAATTCCGTATGTCTAGCCTAACCCCCTGATAAGCTCATCTGGTAAAGAATCTGCCTTCAATGCAGGAAACCCTGGGTCGGGAAGATCCGCTGGAGAAGGGAAAGGCTACCCACTCCAGTATTCTGGCTTGGAGAATTCCATGGACTGTATAGTCCATGGGGTTGCAAAGAGTCGGACATGACTGAGCGACTTTCACTTGCAGGCTAACCCTAATACTACTTACACTCATTTCTTATTGCTGTGGTGACAAATTTAAAGCCACAAACTTAGTGGCTTAAAGCAACATAAATTTATTATTTGTTTTGTAGGTTTGAAGTCTGACAGGCCTCACTGAGCTAAAATCAGACATTCTTTTCTGACGGCTCTAGTGGGGGAATCCATTTCTTTGCCTTTCCCAGCTTCTAGAGGCCACCATGTTCTTTGGCTTATGACTCTCCTTCCCTTCTGTCTTCAACGCCAGTAATATTGTATCTCTGACATAGTCACATCTCCCCCTCTGACTCTGAACAAGAAAAGCCGTCTCCTCTCACTTTTAGGGGCCCCAGTGTACCTTGGGCCCGCTTGGATAACGCAGGATAACCTTCTACCTTAGTAAAACGAGGCTGAGGTCTGTGGTACAGCTTCGGACTGCTTCAGTCCTGTTCAGTTATGTTAACTGCGTCTGTTTTTAATGGGCATTTTCACAAAGTCGTAAGACTGAAAGTTTGATTTGTATGAGAAATCAGCATGATTGACTTCCTTAATATATTGGAACTGTCCTCAAAGCCCAGGTAAATGGATCAACTGTGTAATTACAGATAATTATAGATATGTTGGAGTCCTTTAGTATTTTAATAGTTTGAGATAGGTAAAATCAGTCTCACTAAATCTCAAATAGAGGTTGTAACAGAACACTGTATTTGTTACAGAATGTATTTGATAAGTGATACTGTAATAACCACATTCAAGATACTCAACAAAAATTTTCATTAAAACTTTCTATTTAGGACCTCTCCTGAATGTGCTTAAATGACTACAGACGTTAAAGGGATTCTTTCCGTTGGAACTATTATTCTTTTCTGTGTATGTTAATGTTCTTCCCACCTATCTATCCAGACAGTGGCTTTATATGCTTCCTGATGTGGTTGCCCTGTGTGTGAGATAGGCAATGACTTTGTCTTTTTTAAAATAAAGGTTGTAAATTCAACAGTAAGGAATTCAAAAGGGATCTTTTAATTAATTTTACTATTTCTATCATAGGAGATGAATATGATGTATGTGCCATTTGTTTGGATGAATATGAAGATGGAGACAAACTCAGAATCCTTCCCTGTTCCCATGGTATGAATAATTACATACTGCTTTGAATTTATACGTAATTTATACTTGGGTTCAGTATTAGAAAACAGTTATTAGCACATCATAAGCCAGGCCCTGTACTAATCAGTGATCTCATTAGAGGAGGAAGATTTATACAAATTTACAAACTTGTCTCGTCCCTCTATGATGCATACAGATGAGAACATGAATAACCATGGCAGGAGATTATGTTCTCAACAACAGTGTACTATCTAAAAGATGTGTATTTTGCTTCAACAGCTTATCACTGCAAGTGTGTAGATCCTTGGCTAACTAAGACCAAAAAAACCTGTCCAGTCTGCAAGCAAAAAGTCGTCCCTTCTCAAGGCGATTCAGACTCTGACACAGATAGTAGCCAAGAAGAAAACGAAGTGTCGGAACACACCCCTTTACTCAGGCCTGTGGCTTCCGCCAGCACCCAGTCATTCGGGGCCCTGTCGGAATCCCGCTCACATCAGAACATGGCAGAGTCTTCAGACTACGAGGAGGACGACAATGGAGATCCCGACAGCAGTGACGCAGAAAACGAAATGAATGAACACAGTGTTGTGGTCCAGCTGCAGCCCAATGGTGACCGGGATTACAACATAGCGAATACTGTCTGACCTTCAGAGGATGTTGGGTTATTTCGTTTTAAAATGTTTCTTTAGGCATATAGTTTGATTTTTTTTTTTTTTTTTTTTGCTCCCTTCAGAGATTTCTGTAGAGATAATTTATTTTTTATTCTACAGGTTAATCAAGATTACTGAAACAGGTTTTTTTTGATCTGGTATTTTATCTGCAGGAGTGTACTTCATTTCACTAATAATAGACTGGTGCTGTAACTCAAGCATCAGATCGACTCTTTTGGAATGAAATATAGCCAAAACATTAAAAAAAATTCCTCAGTATAGCTTGCAGTTAAGACCTAGATCACAGGATGCACATGTTCCACGTTTTCACACACAGGGTCAGTGCTGTAGCGGCCGAGCATGAGCCGACTCCCATCTACACAAAGTCACCCAGAGCTGTTGGGCTGGGATATGCTTATTCTGGTGTTTGCCCAGATCGCCGTCATCAGCGAGAGGCCACCACAGCACCACAGAGGAACTCAAAGCTTTCTCCTCTCTGTTGCCAAGTAGCCTCTCTCTGACAGGAACAGTCAGCACTCAGGCAGTCTGCAAAAGTTTGTTCCTGTTTCTAAGGTTTTTAATACTATAGTGTCATGTATGAACTTGATTTATCAGCTGAAGCAATGTCTCTGGCTTTACTTACTGAATTTCAGTATCCTTCAGGATTCTGTGTGGTGATCAAAACATAAGCAAAATGCTGTATAAAAATACCAAACTTCAGTAATTGTTAATATTCAGATCATATACCTCTTAATAAGAGCATCCTATGCTTATTATCCCTGCTAAACTGTGTACAGAGGAAACTGTTCAAGTGTTGGATTTGAAAACGTTGCTTATGTTTAACAGAACTAATGATGTATTTAAACAATGTATTATGAAAAGCTAAATTACACATTATTGTAACTATGTAGAAAATATAGGCTTATATATAATCAAAATGCTAAGAATTTTTATATGGCCTTGTAGGAAGGGAGTTTGAATGTCAATAAACACGTTTTCCACTTTCTCTGTTCTCCTGTAGTATCACCCACAGTAACCCATTTCTGTGCGCAGTGTGTGTTAAAGGCACAATGATTAAGGACACTTAGGTCGGATAAATACACATCACCTTAGGGTTTTATACAGAGTAACTGCTCACAAGCAATTAGGGAACCCCCAAAACCTCAGACCACATTGTTCCAACAACAGTGTGCACTATGGTGCCTTTTCTTATAATTATGGTACATCTTTACAGTAAACTGCCGTGCAGCCCCAAGAGGGTAAATAACTAGATTTATCTGTATTGACATGGGAAGTTAATACTGAACAGAAGCATGTTAGAGAATAGTTAAGTGTACCAGTTAGCCTTCTGTTGTAAGAAAATTTAATACGTTTTTTAAAAATGTAACACTATTGAGGGAAATTTCACTTTTTGAACAGCTTTAAAAAAATTCTTATAAGCAACAACAAAAAATGAGTATTTCCACTTAGGAAAATAAAAAATTGAATTCTTCATTATTCTCCCACCCCTTCCCCACAGAAATAAAAACAAGAGCTGAGAAACAGAAATTATCAGTTTCCTATGGTAGTTAAAACAGTGCTATGGAATTTGACGCACCTGTTTGATCCCAACTTTTCTGACCCTGTCTGCCCATCTGTGTAGTTCATTTATCCTGAGGCAGGGTGCGCGGTCCAAACACTGCGCTCACTGTCTAGCACATGAATGTGATAGTTTTTATAATTACTGAATAAGAACATACCTAAAATATAATTTTTTAAAGGGAAAAAGTTAATCATGGTTAAGTGTATTAGATATTATATTCCCTCAGTCTTTAATCCACAATTCAAATCAAGGACTTGGTTCCTTCAAATTTAAGTTAGGAATTTTTCTGAGGCAAAAGTCATTTTCTGTTGAAACTCTATAGGATTGTTACTAGTTCTAATAGTCACTTGAAATCTTTCATAATTTCTCTATGGGTATAATTACACAGCTTTGCGGTTGGATGCATGAGACAAGTGCTCGGGCCTGGTGCACTGGGAAGACCCAGAGGAATCGGGTGGAGAGGGAGGTGGGAGGGGGGACCGGGATGGGGAACACATGTAAATCCATGGCTGATTCATGTCAATGTATGACAAAACCCACACAATACTGTAAAGTAATTAGCCTCCAATAAAAATAAATTTTAAAAAAAGCCACTGAATAAAATTAAAATACCATTTCCACTAAAAAAAATCTTCCTAATTTAAAAATCTTCTGATTATAAAAAGTAGAGTTATCTAGAAACTTACCCGAGAAAGATCTGTATTTTGCCTTCAGAAATACACATGTAAAATACATTATATATGATATATATTTATCCCATTATATAAAATTCATTGGTGAGCACTGTCTTATGTAATTCTTCAATGACTATTTTATCTTCTGAACATAGTCATTTATTCAACTCATAACCCTGAAAGTTAAATCTTGTAGTTTTCCAAGTTTAGTTATTCTAAGTAACACTGTGGGAGTGACATTCTGCTATACAAATTTATATAGCTCCATTTCTTTAGGTTAAATTCCTAGAAAAGTACAAAGCAAAGATACGTGTTTCTGTATTTTCATACGTGCTTCTCTAATGAAATTAAGGAAAGGGGGCCAGTCACTGTTTCATTCATCATCCGAGCGACAAAGCGGCCATCTACTGTCTTCTCTGGCGGCTCCAGAGGTAACTGAGCCGCCTGCAGTGCAGGAGGCCTGGGCTGGGAAGATGCCTGGAGGGGGGCATGGCAGCCCACCGCAGTCTTCTCGCTGGAGACTCCCCCATGGACAGAGGGGTCTTCAAAGAGTTGGACAAAACTGCGGGATTAGGCAATGCAGCACAACTCCTGTCTTTTCCCCTACCCACACCTCCAACACACACACGTCCCCTCACCTACTCAGAGGTTCATTCATAAGGGTTTCCCAAGTCTAGCCACTGCTTTCTAATTAGTTACCCTAAAGTGTAAACTTACATTACCATAAATTCATAAGTCATCGCAACCCAACCACCAGATTTTCATCTGACCAACCTCTTGCTCCTAACGGGGATCTTAACAGGTCAGGACGTTTCTGGGTTTTTTTTTACCTTTCTAAGGTGTGCCCGCTATTTCAGCGGCCTGAAACCCCACACCTTCCACACCTTCACATCCCTGCATGGCCAGTCAAATCCGGAACTAACAACGCTGTCAAAGGAAAAAATCTTAGTTATGCACAGTGTATCTTGAGAGATTAACTTCCATTCCCTAACCCACTCTTTCTCAAACGGTAGCATATAGTCCGCTTTAAATGAATCAGACTGACCTAATAATGATTATTTCTCAAGTGACTTCGGGAAACTTCATCTCCAAGGTAGCATTCCAGAGCCCAGAATCTAATTATAACCAGCTTCCCAGTTTTGCTTAGACCCACCAAGTTTTGAGCTTGGACCTTCCACCTGGCAGTTGATGATAATCACTTACCTGAACAGTATTAAAACATACTTACTAAAATTCAGTACATCTCAGAGGCCTTATGACCTCTGGGATTAAACCTGACTATTACACAGTGACAGTTTACAGGTCAGTCCACAGCCGGAAGCTGCACGACATCCCAACCCCAACTATCTTCTATGCTGCCCAAGGAATGGCTTCTCTCACGTGAGAGGCCCAGGTGCCTGAGTTCACCTGCCAACACGGCCTCCAAATCCAGCGGGGTCGTATGACAGTTCAGTACAGAAGAACCCACAAATGCAGAAACTCTTCAGGATACTGGGCCCCTTACGACTCACCAGATATTCGTATCCAAACACCAGCGACAAAAGAAAAGTTATTTAATTTCTAGTGGATAAATCAAGTTTTGCCTCATAAGCCTGAAGATGCACCCAAAATGACAAGCCATTTTTAATAGAGCAAAGCTTTTTAAAAATAAATTCCTAGGCACTCATAACACTAGAGAAAATGGAGCAGGCCACCAGCTGAAGTTTTTGAAAAATTTTATGCTTTCGTAGCAGAAAAGTATATTCCCATTATGTCAAAGATCAACTGTAACAGTAAGCTAACAACTTACATAAATAACAGGAGTCTAGAGTATTTGGTTGGAATAAATTTATTTCATCTGTCTGTAAACAAGGTGTTTAATAGTTATGGCATTTTTTTAAATGCATATTAAATCAGATGAGTTAGACTGTATCCCAGATGTAACAAAGTGCAGGGAAAGAAATGGACAAATCAGCAACAAGATTTGTTTTTAAATCTGTACATTATCCACAAGGCCCAAACAATAGAAGCAAATACTAGAGTGTCCCTAAAGTAGTGCCATTCGAAAGAAACCTTTAACAGGTCAGTTAAAATCCATCTCACAATAGCAACAGTTCATTTTAACAATAGTATGGCACAGAATACATATGAAAAAAATTCATCACAAGACAGCCAAGTCCACAATAATGCAACTTCATATAAAAACTCAAGCTGCAAATAAAAGTTGGTCCTATGAAGAACAAACCGGACACACTCCAGACGGTTATGTTGGGATACCTAACGTCCATAATGGCAGCCTTTTACAATCCTACTGAAGAGAAGAGCTGGTGTGCAAAGAAAAAGACAGGAGCACAAGTCTGAGCTACTGTGGTGACGGACCGTCCCTGGGGATTCCATCAGCACGGTCACTAGGAGGTCGCGGGAGGAAGCGCGTTTGCTCTTGTTTTGCAGCTGCACTTGTCGCATGTCCTGTGGACACTATGAAAAAAGTTTTGTCTCTACTCAAGTGCAACAACAATACTAAAAGCAAACTACTGCAGCTCTCAACAGCTCATCAACAAAAGTGATATTAATTGGTTAAATAAACCAGGCACTGCATAAAAGAAGATGGAAGCGAACCAAATACCTATGTGCAAAGGGGGGGGGGGGTGGGAAAAGGGGAGTGAAGGAAAGATGCATGCGCTTCTTCCTCCCAACCATGCGCTATGAAAGGAAGACTAAATGAGCTAAGTAAATGCTCAAAGTGCTGAAAGACACTG